CTTTGTGTTGGTGATCGTTTAATGCTGTGTCTGTGTACCCTGTACTTCCAATGGGATCTCGTATCTTTGCGAGTGTCATACGATCAAACTTTTTAAGTGACTGCAAGTGTGACATTAACTAGCATCTAGTATTAACTGTTAGTACTCTGTTAATTTCTTGAGGTTCCAAGTGACTTTGATCAGTTTAAGTCTTAACAGTGAACTTCTTCTTCAGCATTTGATTAAACTTTTGAGGACCTTCCAGTTGTTTCATTTGATTCATGTAATGTGGCTGATTTGTTTGAAGTCATATCCTCAAAGAACCTGTGAAATGATATGATTAAAGTACCTAGCTAGTTTGGTGATCAGATAAGTTCTTAAGTAACTCAATTTCTTTAGCACTTGATGAAACTTTTGAGGACCTGATTTCCAGTTGTTCCATTTGATTCATGTAACATTATAGCTGATTTGTTTGAAGTCATATCCTCAACGAATCTGTAAAATGATATGATTAAAGCACCTAGCTAGTTTGGTAAACAGATAAGTTCTTAAGTAACTCAATTCCTTCAGCATTTGATTAAACTTTTGAGGACCTGATTTCCAGTTGTTCCATTTGATTCATGTAACATTGTAGTTGATTTGTTTGAAGTTGAATCTGTGAAATGATATGATTAAAGTACCTAGCTAGTTTGGTGATCAGATAAGTTCTTAAGTAACTCAATTCCTTCAGCATTTGATGAAGCTTTTGAGGACCTGGTTTCCAGCTATTTCATTTAATTCATGTAACGTTGTAGCTGATTTGTTTGAATCTGTGAAATGATTAAAGTACCTAGTTTGGTAATCAGATAAGTTCTTAGGTAACTGAATTTCTATAAGAAAGCTCAATTAGTTCCATGTGACGGTAAGATACAGCGATCGGAAAAGAAATCTGTTGGCGCAAAAACACTTGCCTTTCATCCTCGAGTTTCGTTCCACGTGAACGAATCTGAAGCCATGTTTCGCGAGTTTCTTCTGTTTGCTAATTTAAGGGGAAGAGGTTCGATCAAACGGTGTATCCCTGACGAAACAAAGAACTTTCTTGCATCGAGCATCAGGCACGCATATAAATGTGCACGTGAGCCGAGTTGACCTACTGCTCACCTGCTGCACGTACACCGGCTACCTGCGAGTGGTCCAGCTACTCATCTGTCTCCCTTTCGAAGCCTGGTGGATGCAAAGTATCGAAGCCTACAGACATTTTATATGTTAACAAATTATTCGAATTTGAGTTCTCAAAATGAAGAGCAGGTTATTTTTCTTTAAAGGTTACTTTTCTTTAAAAGTCTCTTGCATTGTGCATAAGGAACTTCTTTCGGTTCTTCAGTAAGCAGGTCGTTTCGTCGAAACTTCTGAGGACTGCCTCGAAATTAATCAATTACGAAGCAAAACCGCTTTCCCGCCACGCTACATCTACTCGTACATCGTCGCATGCTTCACTTCTCTCCCTTCATGCTCCAATTCGTCCGTTCGTTCCGTGAATAATAGAAGTTACCTGAATTTACTAGTCTACTGATTCCTCGTCCATAAAAGATGCAATCTAAAAAAAGAAAACATGTGACTGGTCAAAAGCGTTAATTGCAAAAGTGATCGATCGATTCGTATTTCGTTATCAAAATATTTCCCAATGGAGGAAACGAGCAGATGAACGCGAGTCAACGTCCGTGGTCAATTCGCAATCTAATTACGATAACCTAGTAGCACTGTTTCTAATTAGAGCCGCTTTCGCGATAGCGATCGTTACACTTTCGCTTGTTTTCCAAATTTCGTTCAACCAACAGCCAATTAAACAACCGCGACTCGTCTTGCTCCGTTGCGAAACGAATTCTTTTGATAGACCCGTTCACCATGGTAATTCGCGTTACCAACCGACTCGAGGATTAGGTGTATGCAATCTGGGATAAAAAACCTGGAAACTTGAGTAGAAACATCCCACGGTTTTCAAGGTCTAGGGTTGAAAGGAATTACATTATCGCAAAGCGTTTGGGCGTGGGAGCAGCCGAACCTCGAGGAACCGGCTTCAGATGCACCCGTTGCACCCGCGACCTACCTTCACCGTTTCCTCTTCCACCTTCCCGGTTGTTAGCTCGAGTACTCCTTTATCTTTTCATCCACCCTCGAAAAAACACCCCTGCACTTGGCGATGCCTTTCAAATCTTTGTACACTCGCTTGCCTGCAATTTTGGGGGTCAAATGTGTAAAATTGTTCGCTCTACGATTAAACCTTGAAACTATCGGGCTTACTCACCCCTATTCTCCATGGAATTAAAGCTCCCCTGCTATGTTAGCGAGAGTTAAAAAGTTTCTGCTTTCACAGCTGCTGTTCTTGTACCATTGGAAAGTTGTTTATACTTTCGCTGTGTATTATCACCAAGATTCAGAGAGAGGTACAGAAGGAAACTCGGGCGACAACTTTCGTAACAACAGTTTGCGTATGTCGTTCAGTTTGCGCAGGTGATGCAACCGTTTTTGTGTCAGACGATATCTCGCACAAAATGGACTGATTGTTCGATTATCATTTCATGCACAGATACCTCAGCAAGTTTTAGAGCAATTCTTTTACGAGAATCTCTTTCCTATTTTGCTTCGTTTCTTTTAAATAATTGCAAGAATAGAATGCCATCGTTTACATGCGATACGCAAGTTTCTTAAAGCGGCAACCTGTTCTCGCAGCTGACAGGTATAACGACTGGTAATTCCAGCGAGATCAAGGTAATTATACGTCTACAAACTGCAATGATTATATTATCGAGCTAATAAGCTGGACCCGATGAAGCGTTTCCAATGATTCTGTATAATTACGCGATATGTAATTCCTGTGCGGATTAACTAATTGTGTAAGTGCAAAATCACGTATCTAAACTTGTCATTAATTGTCAACATGACTTTGTGTTAATAGAAACGAATAACATGCTAAACTATTCTGTGCATCAACTATTCTATGCATCGACAAATTGTTCTCCAATTTGAATGAGGTGATCTTAATGTTTCTCTCTTGTTGTGAACTTCATAATGCTTCATCTACACATTGTTTTCCATGAATGAAGTAATCTTAATGTTTCTTGCTGTGTGCGCCATAATGTTTCATACACAAATTGTTTTGCATGAATGAGGTGATCTTAATATTTCTTGCTGTGTGCGCCATAATATTTCATAGACAAATTGTTTTCCATGAATGAAGTGATCTTAATATTTCCTGCTGTGTGTGCCATAATGTTTCATAGACAAATTGTTTTCCCTAAATGAGATGATCTTAATATTTCTTGCTGTATGCGCCATAATATTTCATAAACAAATTGTTTTCCCTAAATGAGGTTATGTTTCTTCCTGTGCCATAATGTTTCATCAACAAACTGTTTTCCATGAGTTCCTCATAATGTTTCTCCTCGTTGCCATAATGTTTCTACGCTCCTGTCGTTTCAAAATTCTCGCTCATTTCCTGTCCAAACATAAAGAAGAATGAATACCGAGCATAGCATTAAAAACAAGTATATAGCATTTTTCAAGAAACTTTCTACCAGGGACAATACCAACAGTCCAGGTCAGTGGACAGAGTCAACGGACAGGAAGGTAGGATCGATATTTCTGGATGGAGTTCTCAAAACATCGCGTGTCCGTGGATGAATGCGTTCATCAGGTGTTGTCGATGTGCAAAGTCGGCGCGGTGTTTCTCTGTAGAAAGAAGGGGAATCTGCATGCTTCGGGGCCCGCGAGGGGACCGTAATCACAATGGGGCACGTACCTGTACTTCGGCCCTACGAAGAATGCGAGATGCCACTCCCTCTTCCTCCCTGCTGCATCACCTTCTCTTTTCGCGACACAACGGCTCCCATTAACAACCCTCCTTCAAGAAAACTTTGAAAATTCGAACCGGTCTTTGTGCATAGAAGGTCCCTGCTGATTTGTTTAATTTTAAACAGAAAATTTTCAGAAGAGAAAGTTTTAAAATGAAGACCAAAGTCTCTGATAAAAGCTGAAGACGTGGATGGACCCAGTATGCTAACACACTAAACAAATTTTCAGAAGAGGAAGTCCTAAAATGAAGACTAAAGTCTCTGATAAAAGCTGAAGACGTAGGTGGACCTAGTATGCTAGCACACTAGACAAATTTTCAAAAGAGGAAGTCCTAAAATGAAGACTAAAGTCTCTGATAAAAGCTGAAGACGTAGGTGGACCCAGTATGCTAGCACACTAGACAAATTTTCAGAAGAGAAAGTTTTAAAATGAAGACTAAAGTCTCTGATAAAAGCTGAAGACGTGGATGGACCCAGTATGCTAGCACACTAGAATAATTTTCAAAAGAGAAAGTTTTAAAATGAAGACAAAAGTCTCTGATAAAAGCTGAAGGAGGCATAGGACCTAGTATGCTAGCATACATAAGTTATGAACTATGCCTTTAAGTAGCTTTCAACAATCACCTGTTCATTCACCCAAATAATAACCTTCCTAGTAATAATCTAGCCTAGGTCCAGAATAACAGGCTGCGTCAATCATCCACACCTCCACCAGTGTGAAGTCAACGCGCATCTCCCCGCCTCTCGTTTACCACAGCATCCATCAACAGTTGCTGCATCAACACATATCACCCTGTCTTGGAAGCAAGAAATCACCTTAACTCCAGCCACGATGGCTGACAATTAGCCTCGTGGCAGAAGGTGGTTGCCAGAAGGATGTTCAACGAAGACAAAGCTATTCTCGATCGGGAGTTTTGGACAGAGAGGTGACGAGGGGTGGCACGGAGACGCAGATGGTGGAAATCTCGGGGAATAAAAGCATGCAGGGAGCAGAACCGAGAGGGAGGGGTACGAAGAAGGTTTTTTCGAAGACGATGGGGAGACACGGAAGGTGGGTAGCACCTGGTGGTCGGTGGGGCCGGTGGTAGTGATGGTGTCTTCTGGTGGTGGTGTTGATGCACGATGCAACAGATGCTCCCGGAGAGGACCCTCTGTTCCTCTGCATGTGCCATCTTTGAAGGATGCTTCCAACGACTTTGCGAGTATGTGGACTTCTAGCGTCCCTTTATTCCCGGGAAATTATCTATGGAGAGGGGTCATCGCTTTAGTCACGTACGCTAAAACAAAGTACAAGTTTTTGAAAACCACGAAATCTGCGATAAAATAAATGGGAGAGATTGTAGCCAGAAGAAAACCTTTCTCGCAGGTATGAAAACTGATGCCCGTGGAAAATGTTGCGTACGTTCAAAGCGATGGATTCCGCAAACAGATTCTGCAAACTTTGCAAACGTCCTTTCCAACCGGAAGAGCAGATGTGCTTCAACTCTCCAGTGAACTATTTCAATAAAACCTATGATTTAAAATTGTTGGTTAACAGAAAGTCTGGTAATCGCGTAGAAAGGCGTTGGCTGTAAACTGCCTCACCCTCGATTTCAATCCATTTATTACGCGATTCGAAGGTATCGATCCTCGTATTCCTTGGAAGCGTTTCCGTGCAGCGAAGGCAGGAAAACGAAAGTGGAAAGGTCGTAAACTACGGGAGAACGTCTTCCTAGAGAAAGGGTTGCCAGGATTTTCCTTCTCCCCTTTTTACTGCACGTCTGGCACCGAGAATAAGTCCGGTGCTTAATAAAGACCGTAGGGTTGTTCAACCCTCTGGCACGAGATTCTCAAAGTTTCTTAGCCCTCTTTTTTCTCTTTCCGTCGTTCCTTTGAAGAACGAGGGGTGAAAAAAGAATTATCGTTACTTTGTGTAGGCTTGCTTCCTTTATGGCTGAAAAATTAAATTGATATTAATATGAGTCTTTCGTGACTTGGATAATTATATACTAGTATACCTAACGATTTAGGATGAAAGTTTCTAACGTTCTTCCATGTTCGATTCAAAATGTATTAACGTTCGCTGTTAATCGTCAGAATCCATCTTTCACGCGTACACATGCTTATAAACACCCCTAAGCGGATCTTTTGAATCATACTCCCCTACGGACCGTCTTACGCAAACGATCCGCTGAAATCGCAACGGTCGTTCCAACAGAAAGAGGACTGGGTCAAGGGAACTAGAAGTATCCAGGTATGAGCAGGTGTCGATGACTTCAACGGTGTGACTCCAGGACAATCCGGACTTCTACAGAAAAGAATTCCGATTATAACGAATATTAGTGAAATTGGAATTGTTTTACAAAATAAACTTACATTCTGCTTCAACAAACAACTTCTATCTTTTAATCATTTTTTCTTTGTGACAATCTTCAGAGACAATGTCAACTAAAAATGTAGATATCAGTTGTAAATATTTAACCAGACTGAAACATAGAAATGTTAGTGCAATTGAAATTGTTTTACAAAATAAAAACCTACATTCTGCTTCAACAAACAACTTCTATCTTTTAATCATTTTTTCTTTGTGACAATCTTCAGAGACAATGTCAGATAAAAATGTAGATATCAGTTCTAAATATTTAACCAGAAACATAGAAATGTTAGTGAAATTCAGATTGTTTTACAAAATAAACTTACATTCTGCTTCAACAATTAACTTCTATCTTTTAATAATTTTTCTTTGTGACAATCTTCAGAGACAGTGTCAGCTAAAAATGTAGATATCAGTTGTAAATATTTAACCAGACTGAAATTGTACTTCTTACTGAGAACTGAGAATTGCAGGTGGTAGCAGTTTCCAAAATAACCGTACAGAGTACAAAAAGCGACAATAAAAGAAGTCAGAGAAATCCATTATAGCAAGAAACGATGTTAGAGAACCCAGGGGTGAACCCAAAGTTTATCCTGAACGCAAATCGATTCGAAACGTTCGTTCCATCGGCTGTTGGCAACGACCGTTGCAACGATGACGACGAAGAAGAAGATCGGGGGAAGACAAGAGCCGTACAGCAGCCGTGATTCAAAAGATTCTTCGTACTTGGGGTGTCTTGCAGCTGTTCCTCGCCCTCTACCTCCCCGACTTCTCGTAGCATCTTATCTGCGAACCGTGCAGATCCACGAAATCTCCATATGTGTGATCCTAGCCAATTCACCCTTTCTGTTCATCGATTTCAAGATCTTTTGGAACGCGAAAGCTTCTGGATTAACCGAAGTTCTCAGGATACTAACGGTATTTCTTTGACCTTGAGCGCTATCAAGATCATCAGAAACAAAGCTGGACGGCGGCAAAAAACGAAGAAAGGGAGAAGGCTTTCCAGAAGGTCTTGCGAGGGTGAAAACTTCGGGAGTCAGTCGTGTAGCGGGAGCAAAAGCCAGTGAAAGAAACAAGTCAACCGGCTGGCAAACCCTCCGGCTTCGATCGAAGCCAGCAATCTGTCGTCTTTACGCCCTCCTCCGGGAATCTTTTTCCAAATCTTTGCCAAATCCCTTCGCCTTCCATATCTTTCGTTATGTAACCTTCCGAGGGAAGATCGTAGATACGGTTTATTCTGACATTAACTCTTGTAATTAGTGTTCTGTAAAATTTGTACTTGCAGTGTCATTGACAGACTAATGGACGCGTAAAATGTCCGTGGCAGGAACTGATGTTCGCTCGCTAAACGTCGATCTGCAATGAAGAACGCTTTACCAAATTGTAAGTGGCAAGTTTGCGTTATAAACCATTACCGTCTTAACCCGTTGGACAGTTTCGAATCCTTTTAAAGTGACGGTCATTGGATGTTTATGATCAAAATATACAAGAGTCTTATATGGCAGGTGATCTGAAATGACAGGTGTTCTTTGACTGTCTTTAAGTCATCTTATGCAAATACGTGTGTTTACAATGTACTTCTCAATTCAAAGTATCCTTGCATGTCCTGCATCCTTGTCTTCTAAATTTAATTCCAAGTAAACTGCATCAGCACTGAAGTAGCTTTTCATCCCCAGTGACCGGTATTCTAAAAAGATAACCGAATGTTAATAGAATGATTTGTAATTGTGTTCTTGTAATTACAATAATCGTTCAGCTGTACATATTACCAAATCCGTGGTGTAGGTAATACCAATTATCTTGGAGGGTGAACACAGTAATCAGAAGATAAAAAGCGTGCATTCAAGATACCTCGAAGGTTCTTCGCCGCTTTTGGAAAATGTTCTCGATTCATTAGACGAGAGGATGGCGCGTTAACGAGGCCAATAACGGTGCAGGCAGGTGCCACGTGCCAAGGACCACTGTCGGTGCTCATCATCGTGCACTTACTTTCTTGCTGTTCGCCGGCAATATTTTGAATGAAACAGTAACACAGGCCCGCTTGAGAAAGCGGATTAATTAAAAGGCTCTACGTGAGCCGATGGATGAATTTTTATCGGTGGACGTTTATTCCAACAGGGGCGATCATCGAACTCGAACATGATCCTCCACTTTCATTCGTGTTCAACACGTATATTTTATTGTTCAACCATCTTTGAGAAACTTTTGATTGTTTTAACATTCTTCATTGATTTAACATTCTTCATTGATTTAACATTCTTCATTGATTTAATATTCTTCACTGATTTAATATTCTCACAGCTTTTAGAATTACTTTCCAAGTTTGTACTTTAAGTTTAATGTACCTCAATGTCCAAATGAAATAAAAGAAAAGAGAGATTACTTCAAAGATAGTCTTCGGTCAATGTTTTTGGCAAATGAGAAATGTGTTGCAAAGTTGCAAACGGGTATCATTAATTCTTCGTTTACTGCAGCACGTTTTCTCTTCAATTATCTTTCAATTTCAGCATTAATGACGATATGGCGATTTACAATTTCACACGCGTTCCGTATATTCCCCAGCCTTCATTTTTTTCCACCATTTCCTCCGCAAAGGAAACCCTCGTCGAAGTTTCGGGCAGCTGTTCATCCTCGGTACGGAAGTAATCCTAGGCTATCGGCTTCCTCTGCGGAAAAAACGGTAGGCTGGTGAACATGTTCGGAAAAAATGAATTGATTCGGTGAAGAAAATCCTGCCATGCTTCCTCGTGTTTTAAACCGATTAGATCGCTAAATCGGTCCAGGGATTGCTTCATGCTATGATCTTATTATTCTGGGTGAATTCTGAAAACTAGCACGTGTCAAGCATGTGTGAACTCTGGAAAAAGTTAGACTGGAGAACATACGTTTATTCATGAAGTTTGGATTTGAGTTTGGAATCTCCAGATTTAGGAAGATGTTCAAGTCTACTAGATGGCTCTTGCTTCAGCATTTTTTTTCATTTAAAAGGAAGTCTAAGGGAGCCTATGATGCACTTGGCTCTGCATTGATGCTAGGCTTTGGTCCTGCAAGAAATTCTCTGTTAATTATTTTGTATAAATTAGTGGAATTATAGATTAGTGGAGATATCTTTCTATTCTCTACATTTTTTACTATTCTCTAATGCTTACTTTAGCATTCATTTGAAGAACAGTGTTTTGTAAACAGTTCACAACCATGATTTGCCAATCTGAAAAATCCAACACAAGATTATAGGAGATTTGTGGCAGCCGATTTGCGGTAGCTCAATTTCATAAGGGTAATAAAATCTTACGTGGCAATCAAGGTAGGAAAGGGAGGCCACACTAAAGGAGGAACCTCGATCGGAAATCCGAGTTCCTACTTGGTTACCTTCACTTTACATCTGGCACGTTCGAGCCGCGACCAGGAAGACCCTCTTTTATCCAGCTGTCTCTTTCTCGTACGGGTTCTCGACAGAGACCTAAAAAATTGCACAGGATTTATTGCAACAGTCTATGCTATTACCCCAATGTTTCCTATCATTGCTTCCATTAATTTATAATGATTTTGTCTCTCACCAATATTCATTTTTGACTTCATTTAAACATCATCAATATTTTTAACTTCTATGCATAAAAATTTAATCTACTGTTAATATTTTTATCAATGTCTGTAGCCTGAGAGGGTGCATTCAAGCTGAACATGGTACACATAACCTAAAAGAAGAAAGACATTTTTAACTTCATACTGTACATAAACATTTTGCCTCTTAATATTTTTACCACTGTTTGTAGCATAAGAGGTTGCATTCAAGCTAAACATAATGCACATAGTCTGAAGAGAAACATACATTTTCTTCAACAATTCTAACTGCATACATAAACATTTTGTCTACTGTTAATATTTTTAACAATCTTTGTAGCCTAAGAGGGTGCATTCAAGCTGGACATAGTGCACATAACCTAAAAGAAGAAAGACATTTTCATTAACATTTTTAACTTCATACTGTGCATAAACATTTAGTCTACTGTTAATATTTTTACCAATGTCTGTAGCATAAGAGTGTGCATTTAAGCTAAACATAGTGCACATAGTCTGAAGAGAAACACATTTTCTTCAACAATTTTACCTTCACACATAAACATTTTGTCTACTGTTAATATTTCTACCAATGTCTGTAAGAGGATGCATTCAAGCTGGACATATAGCCCAAGGAAAAAATACATCTTTTTGATCGAACCACTTCGAACCTTCGGATTCGAGTCCCAGGTTCCCTTCGGATCATTGTGCTGCTCACAATAGAGGTCGTGCATGACGAGCTTAAGATCGCGACGGATTTCCTTCTTGCAGATACAAAGGATCATCGAAGAGGAAAAGAAAACGGGGAGCACGTGCCATCTGCGAAGATCGAAAATCGTCTGAAAGGAGCGTCGAAGGTGGGACTGGTGGCACGAGCCCGGTGAGATAAAAGAGCTGCATCTGCGGAGGAGGAGAGGACAGAAATGGTGCACCGTTTGAGAAGGATCAAGTACAGAAACTCTCGAGACATCTGTCGATATGCAATGACTTAATCTAACCAATGCGATAATCTTTGTACGCAGGCGTAAGAAACTCATCAGCTATTTCAGCCGCCAACATCTGTGACAACGTGAAGTATCTGGCAAAGACACTGGTGATCAGGGAAATGAGAGAAAGAGGCGGTAGGTGGTTGAGAAAGAAACTCGGCTGACTGCCTGTTAGAAGATGGCCTGTTGCGAGTCGGTGGTTCTCTTGTACTCCTGGGAAGTAACGGCAGATGTTCTGACTCGGTTGGCGCGTGCCCGCTGCCACTTGGCTGCGAAGAAGACGCTACCATCTGCCCCTTCTTCCCCTTCGACCTCACCCTCTCCTGTCTCTCCTCGACACTTACCTTCAGACTGATTTGCTCTTACGCGACCTAGAATAATAGCACGAATTTAAAAAACCGTATAGACTGGATTTAGAATTGGAAAACATTTACCTAGAGTACAGATGTCCTGCGACGTTAAAGCTGCACTGATAAGACCACGGCTATCTGACTCTCTTTCCTGGATACGCAAGTCTGCAATATAGAGAGATAAGGGTAGCTGTTTGCTTTGGGACTCGAGGGTAGAAGTGGGTGCTTCGTGCGCATGATGACGCGTTGATTTGGACGATAAAGATGATGGGTTAATTTCAATGGTCAAATATTAACACGTCCCGAATTCTCTTAGTGGATTAAGTTCTATAAAAGTGAAAATGTCCTTGATTTGTATAACGAAGAAGATTCGAGCAAACCAGAAAGGTGTTCGTTTACGGATTCAGTCGGCAGAAAACCACAAGCAGATATCGATCGGAGTAATCGAAAACTCGGGCAAATACGACACCGACGGATCATTATCGGACCATTGTAGTCCGGCACGAGTCCCTCGAATTAAGATCGATCGATTCCACGCTATTCCCGTCTAATTTTACAATCGCGGTCGTTTGCTCGAATTTACACGAAACCTTCGGCGGCTCGTGTTCCCTATCAGGTTTTACTGAATGAACGTTATCAATGGAAATGATAGGTTTGCTATAACGTTAACCGGGAAACTGGAGATTCAACGCGGTCGTTAACGTTAAACATCACGTGTTGTGAAACGTGATCCAACACGGCAATACAATTCCTTGCGATCAATGCTTAGCATACATTGGAAAAATTAAGACCTCAATCGTTCATGACTTCTAAACTATTAGACTCTGTTACATTATACAAATCAAGAACACACTAATTTTGATAAGAATCATATTAGTAATACTGATCATAACCTCAATGTATCTGATTTTCGTGAAGAGTCTAAGAGTTACAATTATCCAAAACCCATCCACTTCAATTTACATTCGCCCATCTACGCACCATAAGGTCACCGTAAAAAGCGCAGCGAAGAAACCCGGCCCGGCGGGATAATTGCTTTCGAATTCATAGTCGACAGAAGGTGGAGCGAATGCGCGAGTCGAATGCAAAACGTGAGAGCAGGTAAGGATTTCCTCCAACTGGCAGGATAAGCACGCAGATGGCGCAGATATTTTTTATTTTCCTTTCCTTCCCTTTCTTCCCCCGAGAAAAGGAAAATCTCTTTTCACGAGGCAAGAAGGAAAGCCGAGACGTGATCCGGCTTTAACCGTTCAATATGGTCCACGGACTGGTCGCGGATCGGAAGCATGGCACGTGCCGCTCACAAAGAAAAACGCGGCAGCATCCGCAAGGTCGGTGCCATCTGTTGCTTCTCCCGCTCTGGAAACTGAGCCCGCTGGCCCACTTCGGACGAATTCTTTTCCGGCATTTCCGATGGTGCTTCGTTAGCGAACGCTCGCGTGCCAGCCTCTTCGATCCTTATGGTTTTACATTACCGGTCAAAGAAGTTCCATCCTGCAGTTGCGACTGGAACAGCTGTTACAAGATCTTTGTCTTCAAATGATAAGTAGACTTCTTCGACATCTACTGTTCTGTACACACAAAGATTCAGTGAAGATTAAACTACTCACTAGTTTAACTACATTTCTTTAAAAAATCTTCAAATTAATAAAAAGACCAAACCAATGATCTTGAAACTGGTGCTAGGTGCAATTAGAGCCATAAATAGTTGTGCACTGACGCGTCCAGTGCAGCATCCATGAAGCACCATCTGTCTGACATTTTTTTTCTCCACCGATTCGATTGACTGAATTTTAGGAAGCTGTCGATGCACGACGAGCACGCGCTTAGGCATTCGCGAAGCTATCTTTGTCTCGAATTTCTGCGATAGATGGTTGCTCGATTTAGGGCCTCGTCAGGTTGTTGCCAGCTTGCTTCTCTTGCTCTCAAGATGCTGGCACGTGTGGCGCGAATTATCGAGCCTCGTGTTTACGAGCGCACATGGGTCAGAAATTGCTCGGATGCCGAGGAGCATTTAGCGACTTTTAATCTTAGGGTTAATTCCATCGTGATGCCCTTATAAATTAATGAGTTGAATTAATCAGCAAATTAATCAGTTGAACTACATATATAATAAATAAAATCTTACTAATTCTCCCTTGATTCTTTTTAAGATCTTCCTGATATAAATTCTTCTGAAGAGAATATCAGAATTCAGACTTTTAATCTTGGGGTTAATTCCATCATACCCCTATAAATTAATCAGTTTAATTAATCAGCAAATTAGTCAGTTGAACTACATATATAATAAATAAAATCTTACTAATTCTCCCTTGATTCTTTTTAAGATCTTCCTGATATAAGTTCTTCTGAGGAGAATATCAGAATTCAGACTATTAATCTTGGGGTTAATTCCATCATAATGCTCCTACAAATTAATGAGTTGAATTAATCAGCAAATTAATCAGTTGAACTACATATATAATAAATACAATCTTACTAATTTTACCTTGATTCTTTTTAAGGTCTTCCATATATAAATTCTTCTGAAGAGAATATCAGAATTCAGACTTTTAATCTTAGGGTTAATTCCATCATAATGCTCCTACAAATTAATGAGTTGAATTAATCAGCAAATTAATCAGTTGAACTACATATATAATAAATAAAATCTTGCTAATACTACCTTGAGCTTTTTAAGGTCTTTCTAAGATCTTATAAATTCTTCTTAAGAGAAGGTTGTCGAATTTATTAATCGGCAAAATGATTTTCATAAGAGCGAACATTGCGAAATCGTGTGAACTCACGGGGCCAGCTGGTTGGTCCCTCGGTGTCCCATCGCAGGACAGAATTTAAGCAATTTCTGGCAAAGGTGGCCTGACAGGTGTAATATGCACGCAGGCGTCTCACGCGTCGTTAAGCGATGAGGTAACATCACCAAAAATTTTGGCTAGGGACCGTATATTTGAGTATGATACCTCAGTGGACAATACTGAATTCGAGAGGACCTCTTTGTAGGCGCGCAGCTTGACAGCTGCAGCATTGTATCATTGTTCATGTCGCAGGACTTTAAGACGCCTAGGTGCAGCTTCCACGAATATTTGAGCATGATACGCGTACAGGCGGCAGATAGATTTCTTCAGCAGCTGCGAAATGTATGTCGAACTTGGAAAATGTGCACTGTCGATAACGCGATAAGGAATTTACAAAATGCTTGGAACGAGATAAGAGAACTTTTATCTATTTTTTTATAAAATCCTTATTGCTATCGTTGATACGATATAAAAGTTCAAACAATTAATTATAAAATAATTTGGTAATAAAAGGTTTAGGTTTCCAATCTCGAAAGAAGTTTAAGAAGAAATTATCCGACGTTACGTAAGCGACAACTGCGAAATCACGGAGCTGTCGATCGAACAAATCAGAATCCAACAATCAGTGCAGACTTTCCATTCGCACGAGATCCTGGTCAAGGATCGTCGCTTGGTGTATTCCGAATTGGAGCAGGTGCTCGCCAGGGATGTCGCGGGTAAAGAAGAATTTCAGGGGAACCGCCGTGATTGGTTCGTCGTGTAGGCAGCTGTTCGTAGCCTCCAATTAAGTAAGTGCTGTGTCGTAACAGGTGTCGCGTGATTATCAGGTACCGAAGGACCGGCCAATAAATATCGCTTGCAATATTCTAACCGATGGGCCG